ATAAAAAATAGAAAGGCAGCTGCGAAATTTCGGAACCATCTAAACTCCCTAAGAAAGGAGACGAGCCTAGAGCAGAAGTTTGTAACTACAGCTCAAGGTGCTAGGCTAGAAGGGGACGAAGCTATTGTATATATAAGAAAAAGGGGGACAGAAAAATTTCAACAAAGAAGTGCTTTATGCACCACAGTATACAAGTATGAGTCAAGTGGCGCAATGGCTCCATTTTCACAACGAGAGTGGGAAAGGGCTGAGAAGAGGGTTCCTAGTAGTACATAAACAGGCCACAACGGCATTCCAATTATGCTAATAAAACATTATGTCCAAAATTCTGAGCTGGCTTTGAGAGAGGCAGTGAGCAAAATAATAATCGATGGTGAAGTCCCCAATGGATGGAAACTTAGCAAGATGAGCATGATCTATAAAGGAAAGGGGGACAAAGCTGACATAAACAACTACCGTCCTATAACAGTGACATCAGTGGTCTACAGGCTCGCAATGCAGATTAAAAAGGAAAGACTGCAGGCATGGATAGAGGATGAGGGGGTGCTCTGGGAACTGCAGAATGGGTTTCGAAAACACAGTACGTTGGAAGACAATCTTTTCTCACTGACGCAGTGCATCGAAATAGCAGAAAAGCAACACAGGCCCCTGTGGCTAGCATTTTTGGATATCAAGGGAGTGTACGGTAGCACGATTCAAGAGGACTTGTGGGGAATACTGGACACACTAGGTGTGGAACATGTAGTCACTAATCTTTTAAAGGGTGTCTATAAAGGTAACGAGGTAGTTATAAAGTGGGAAAAACAGGTATGCAAGCCTGCAGAGGTAAAGCGGGGGCTTAGGCAGGGGTGTCCTCTGTCACCGTTGTTTTTAATGATGTACCTATAAGGATAAGAGGCCAAATTAGAGGAAAGTGGACTGGGCATCTACCTCTCTTTCGCTAAATAAAGAAAACTCATTGAACAGGGAATACCAGCATTGATGTACGCAGGTGATATAGTGCTAATGGCCGACAACAAGAAAGACTTGCAGAAATTCATGACATCTGCGGTAATGAGGGAGATAGGTTAGACTTCAGATTCAGCAAGGAAAATTTAGCAGTCATGATTTTTAATGATAATGAAAGTAGTGAGCTTACAATACATCAGGTCACGCTAGAGATAACAGATATTTACGAATATCTTGGCGTATGGATAAGCAATGAGGCAAAATATTCAAGCCCAAGCGCTTAGGATATGCCTTGGTTTACCCCGCTGCGCATCGAGAGCTGAAACTATTGCCATTGCACAGGACTACTCGATCATGACGCACATCACTATTGTAACGATGCGTACGTACCTCAGGCAACATGCTAGGAATCCTTCCCACCACTTGGCAACCCTCGCTACTGAGAGGCCCCGCACGAAATTTAGTGCAATTGTCTGTGCTCATCGGGTGCGTTTACGTCAGGTTTTACGCCTGCTGAGAAACTGGTGTATCCTCCGTGGTGCCTGACACTTCCACAAGCACGTGTTTCGATTCCAGGAATACAGAAAAAATCCAATTTGCCTTCATCAGCCCTAAACAATTGAGCTTGAGCCTTCTGCACGAAACGTACAACAACCACGTGCACTTATAAACCGATGGTTCAACCACAGCGTCTGGTTATGGTGGTGCGGTGGTGATTCCAGCTAGAGGAATCACTCTGCGAATCACTGTCACATGTCACTACGTCTACGGCGGCAGAACTTGCGGCTTTGCGTGGCGCCCTAGGGTACATCAAATCCAAAAGTCCGACTAAATGGGCTGTGTTTTCCCACTGAAAACCAGCCCTACAGAGCATGCAGTCAGTCCTTCGACGAGGTTGCCATGAACAATTAACTTACGAAGTTGTCAAGCTTGTTCACCACGTCACAGAAACAGGCCACGAGGTCAAGTTTCAGTGGCTTCCTGGCCATTGTGGGATCATTGGCAATGATTCCGCAGACAACGCGACTCGCACATCGCACCAAGAAGAGCACACTCTTTCGATTCCTTTGTCAAGGACTGACGCTGCACAGCAACTTCGTCACCTGGCACGTAGTCTGAGTCTGCAGGAGTGGAACACCCCAAGCATAATACATACCAAATACACCCTCGACTGGAACTTCGACCTCCATCCGGACTTCGTCGACGTGAAGCTTCACTTCTTTGTCGCCTTTGGTTGGGGGTTGCCTTCACAAAAGCATATAGAACCCTCATCGGATTGACCGATAACGCGGAATGCGACGTCTGCTGCACCAAATAAGACATCAACCATCTGATATGCCATTGCCCTCGATATGCCTCAGAAGGACAGAAGCTTTCGGACGCATTGCGACAATTGGACGATAGGCCACTCTCTGTGCAGATGCTACTGGAACACCGTCATCGCCTTTCGTCGGCTCAAAAAGCAGTCAAAGCTGTCTTGTGCTTTTTGAGGACTACACGCCTACGTGACCACCTTTAGCTTTTGTGTAGTGCCACCGCTGCATACGCGACAGCCGATTGACTGACAATCCTCTTTTTTTTCTTTTTTCTCTCTCTGTTTGTCTTCTCTTTCCTCTCTCTCTCATCTTTATGCCCCCTTCCCATTCCCCCAGCGTAGGGTAGCAAACCGGGCATGGGCCTGGTTAACCTCCTTGCCTTCCCTCTTCTTGTTTACCTCTCCCTCCCCCCCCCCTCCGAGTACCTAAGGCAACACGAAATATACGTGACGTCTAAAGGTGACAGGAATGCAGCGGTGATGAAAAACATGGCACTGTGCAATTACAATGGGTATGGTGTTAGAGGAATATGGAGAAGGGTCATGGTTCCAGGTCTAACGTTCGGCAATGTGGTCTTGTGCACGAGATCAGAAGTTCAAGCAAGATTAGAAATTAAGCAACGCGGAATAGGTAGGCTTGCCTTAGGAGCTCACGTGAATACACCAAATCAGGGAGTACTAGGTGATATGGGATGGACATCATTTAAGAGCAGGAAGCTAGCAGCAAGATGAAATTTGAGAAGCGATTGACAGAAATGGGAAGGAGCGTTGAGCTAGGAAGGTACTCAGCTACTTGTACATGAAGAATGTCGATACGAAATGGAGGAAGCGAACCAGAAAATTGAGTGGTAAATACTTTGAAAGCAGCATGGGGCCAAACCAAAAAGAATAATCGGTTAAGAAGAAGGTGAAGAGAGTTGAGACCGATATGTGGAGAATTTGAATGATTAAGAAGTTCGCACTAGAGATCTATCAAACTATTAAGCAGGAAATCGCCAAGGAAAGGATCTATGATAATACTCGGGGTAGTTCTCTAGTGTTTGAGGCCAGGACAGCAGTATTGCGAACGAAGATATATCGGGCCAAATACGAAGGGGTAGACATGGTATGCACTGCGTGTGTAGAGGAAGAGGAAACTGCCGAACACTTCATATTGTTCTGTAAAGGGCTTCACCCTATAGTTCAGGATGATGGCGCAGAGTTTTTCAAAGCACTGGGTTTTTGGGACAGTGAGGGCAAAATAGACTTTAAGAGGGTAGAATTAACTAGAAGGAGGTTATCTGAATGGTGGCTAAAATCAAGGCACGAGTGAAAATTAAGCTCTTCACTGCAAAGTACAAATCCTCAACCTCACTATTTAAAGGAAAAAAATAAATCTAGTTTTTGGTTCATCAAGTATTACGGCTAGGTGGCGCCAGCCATCGCCCGATCTAAAGGGTACAGCCATATAAATCCACCCATTTATGTGTGCGCGTGCACACTGAGAAAGACGCGCATTCGAAGAAACAAAGAAAAAAGTGCTCAAGGTCAGAAGGCGCCCGTGTCTTTTTTATGTGGCCCTTCCATCCATCGCTGCTTAGCTTCTAGCGCTTTCGTCGGGACGAGAGAAAAATGAATTGAATTGCAGCATGCGACAAACCTTTGTAACTCCACTCGCACTGAATGCACTCTTAAAAATTTTCCGGCATTGAACTTGCGAGGCAATAAGCTCTTCGACTGAATACATTTAATGGTTGATTGAAAAAGTTTTAAAGCCCCTTTTAGAATGAATAGTGGTAAGGGAGGGGGGTGGGTTGGGGTTGGATATTGAAATAAAGACGTACTTAGAGCACAGCACTTCGTTTTCAAAAGGCTCCGAAATAGGAGGTGATGCAGGGATACTAGAAGGTCCTCGAGTGTACCATAAATGACTAGTAGCTTTTTCGAAAAAAATGGCAGAAAAAAAGATAGAAGTTTGCGTTTCGACAGGCAGACTTGTCTGCCTCAGGGCTAGAAAAAACAGTTTTGTTCTCGCCTTCAGGTAGACATGTCATCTTGTCGAAACGTCGGCTCAACGGAACCCCGGTTCACGGATTTTTCATATTAGCTGTTTGTAACTATCCATGCTGAAACAGTTTGAAAACAGATGCAAAAAAGATATATTAGATGCCGCTGGTTAGCGTTTCTCTCAATCCACTCTATACACTTGCATGTGTATTCTAAGTTTGTCACAGACTATAAAACTAATTGATTGATTTGTGGGCTTTAACGTCCCAAAACCACGATATGATTATTAGAGAAGCCATTGTGGAGGGATCCGGAAATTTGGACCACCTGGGATTCTTTAACGTGTGCCCAAATCATAGCACACGGGCTTACAACATTTTCGCCTCCATCGGAAATGCAGCCGCCGCTACTGGGATGCAATCCCGCGACCTGCGGGTCAGCAGCCGAGTACCTTAGCCCCTAGACCACCACGGCTGGGGGACTATTAAATTAACGAATATTTGTAAAGAGCGGTAGGCGTTGTCGACGTATTTGTTAGGAAGCACTGGGCGGATCCTACGCGCCACGACGTCACTACAAGCGCCTCAGTAAGTCGACGGTACTTCCCATTGTTCACAAACATGGAGTAGGTCAAACTTGTGGTGAGCTACCAACGTCCACTGATACAGCACTGACCTTCTTGAAGAGCATCACTCCGTCCTTGCTGGCTGCAAGCTCCTTGTAGACGGCGTCTTCCGATGTGATGGCAAACGCAGTGCCGGTCGATAGTATACGCAGCCTTGAGGAACTCTTTGGCCTCGAGGCTCGTCTGGTTTTTGAAGAAGCCCACGATTGTGACCTCCGCGCTGTCCACGAAGATCCTCGCATCGTCCACAGTGCTGATTAGCTGAGCCGGTGGTTCAGTCTTCTTCTTAACCCACTGGATCATCTCCTCTATGGTATGGTTACCCTTGTAGTAGACTGGATGTCCATTGCGGAAAAACGTGAGTGTTGGCAAGCCGCGCAGGTACTTCCAAGCGAGCAGGCCATCGAAACGGGCGTACACCTTGGCCAGCTTTATGTACGAGCCTTCTTCCTCGAGCTGCTTGGCAGCCTTGGCAAATTTGGACGCCAGGGCCTCGCACTTGTTGGTACAGTAGAGGTCTGCAAAGGACAGCCGAACAATTTCTCAAACACAAGGAAAGAGCGCAAAATTCGAACACTACACAGATTAGCGGAGTCCGAGGCTTTCACTTGCTATGGCCTCATCAGTTCTCGGGGACGTCATTTCAAAAGAACGGGCAGAACGGAGGATGGGCTCTCTGAAATGACCATTGCTACAAGCTTGTTAGTGTTCTCATGGCGAGTTACAAATCCTGCTTGAAACAGATGCGAAACATATGCCCGGATCTCAGTGCCTGGTGCCCGGTTCATGCGGTTTGCCATTTCCCAAAAGCGCCAGCAAAGCAAACAACTCCGTTATAGTGTGGTGACGTAGGCACTCAGAAAGGAGGATAAGAATAGGCCCAAGCTAGTCATGATGGTGTTCGTTATTCTCTGAGGGTGCTGGTTCTCTAAAGATAGCCAAACTACTTGCGGTGTTTTAAAAAAGTGATAAACAATGTCTTTCTAGTTATCTTCTGATCTATATTCATTCTTCCCACATGAAAGTCATCAAATATTATTCATAGTTTGACTTAACAAGAATAAATTTAATGTATTGAAGTCCTGTTCATTTAGCTTTCGCTCTGTAAGTTCAACTAACTTTGCCCTTCTTTCCTATTCTGACTAAATCAAACGCTTCATTGATTGAGGGTGCATCCACGGGTCAATTTTCTTAGATTTATGAAAGCCATTCGACACCACTTTTCATCTCATTTTGTCCAGGAAGCAAGACGCATACGGCATCACAGGTGCATCCCTCAAGTCACTAAACAGTTAGTTACCTGGTTATTAGAAAACATATTGCACACATGGCAGGTTCCTTTTCATCGACTGACACAATAAGTAAAGGATTCCCCGAGGCTCACTACTGGGTCCCTTATTTTTTTTACGGTACAATAATGACCTTCCTGACATTATAAACAAGGCTCACTGCGTCCTATATGCTGACGATACAACCATTGCATTTGCTGATAATTGTGTTACCTGTGTCGCTGATAATATAAATGCCACACTTTGTAACGTGATCATGTGGTGTAAAAATCACCTAGTTATTATTTGAAAGAAATCTAAGTTTATGGTTTTTAGATCACCTCAATGCAAGTTAATTAATCTCCAACAAATACCATTGACTCTCATTTTATTAGTATCCCTGGCAGCGTATCATTTCTTCGTGTTCTACTCGATGTAAACCTTCGATTCAACCTTCAAGTTGCTCACGTTAGATAAAGGAGAACATTTGGCATTCGCGCATTACTTAAAGCTCACTCATATATCTCTCATAAAGCGCTCCTATTTCTTTACTTCACTTTCATTCATTCTCACATCACTTACGGTATAGCTTTATGAGGTAATACTTATCAGTATCATCTTTCCTCCTTACAGCGTTTACAAAATAGAGCCCTTCGCGTTATTTTTAACTGTGGTCGCCAAAGTAACATCACTTGCCTCCTCCATTGTAATAATATCTTAAATCTTAGAAACTTATTTAGATTTATTCTATACATGTTTCTGCATAAACACGAACACATAAGCTCTCAACCGATTTCATTGAATATGAACATTATTTAATACTAACACTCCATGGTTTGCGGCCAACAACAACTTCCTGCTACCTATGATTCATACCAACTACGGTAAATCATCTTCACACTTCTGTGGCATCTTATTATGGAACTCTTTAACATCATCGCTAAAACGTAAAATTTCTTTGATTTCATTTAAAAATTCATTAGAGAATTTTTGGTTAAATATGCGAAGTTCCTTCATTTAGGTGTACCAGTTTTATTGCTATATAAGTACTAATGAAGTGTGTTTCAGTGCCATGTTGTTTAATTTTTTATTTTAGTTTAGGCCTTCATTGGTTTTTCAGTTGTTTCAGTGTGGTGGTGCTTTTACCCTTACTCATTATATGCTGTGTTTTCGTATTTCTGGTATCTGGCCCATTTGCTTTCAAATTTGTTTTTTTTTCTGTTCTACTGCTGCTTTCACTTGTCTTATTCAATTGTAACCATAACCGAGGGCTCTTAGAAGCCGCGAAATTTGGGGCCCTTCATCAGAATACTTGATACTTTGAGTTAAGTTTTTGTCTTAATAAAGCTCATTGATTCATGGATTGATTCACCATAATAAATTGTTTAATCATCATCAGCAGCAGCAGCAGCTTGTTTATGCCCACTGCAGGGCAAAGGCCTCTCCCATGATCCGCCAATCAAGCCCGGTCCCGTTCTTTCCGTTGCCAGCGTTATCCCTGCGAACTTCTAATCTCATCTGTCCACCTAACTTTCTGTCTCCCTTTCGTGTGTTTACCTTTTTTGAAAATCCATTCAGTAACCTTTAAAGACCAGCGGTTATCCTGCCTTCGTGCTACGTGCCCGCCCCATGTCGATTTCTTCTTCTTGATATCAACTATGAAGTCCTTCACCCCGGTTTAATCTCTGACCCACTCTGACCTCTTTTTGTCTCTTAAGGTTACACCTATTATTGTCCTTTTCAATCGCTCGCTGTGTCGCCCTCAATTCAAGCTGAACCTTCTTTGTAACCCTGCGGGTTTCTGCTCCTTAGGAAAGTTCTGGCAAGATGTAGCTCTTATACACCGTCTTCTAGAGTTAGTGGCAGATTATCATTCATGACTTCAGAATGCTTGCCGAACATGATCCACCCTATCCTAATTCTTCTAGGTATTTCAGTCTCAATGTTAGGCTCCGCACTTACTACCTGACCTAATTATATACACATTCTTTACAGCTTTCAGCGTCTCTCCACCTACCGCAAAGTGCTCTTTTCTGCCGAGACTGTTGTACACTACTGTAGTTTTGTGCATATTAATTTAAGACCCACTTTTGTGCTTTGAGTGTCCAGTTCTGTAATCATGAGCTGTAATTCGTCCTCTGATGTTACTCATCAAGGCAATGTTATCTGCGAATCACTCGTTAATAAGATACTCTCTAATAACTCCTACCCCTAAGTCTTCCCGATCTAGGGTCCTGAAAATGTCCTGTAAACACGCGGTGAATAGCATCGGAGCGATCGTGTCTCCCTGCCTTACACCCTTCTTTATTCCGTTTTTTTTTTCGCTTTCTTTATGAAGAACTATAGCGGCTGTGGATCCACCGTAGATTTTTTCCAGTATGCTTATGTAGCGTTTTTCGATGTCCGTACTCCGTAGTGCCAGCATTACTGCTGATGTCTTGACTGAGTCAAACGTTTTCTCATGTTCTATCAATACAATGTATAAGGGTTGGTTATATTTCGCTCATTTGTTTATTACCTGATGGATAGTAATAATATGGTTTATAGTGAAGTAGCCTTTATCAAATCCTGCGCTTTCCTATGTTTATGCAACTCAAATGTCGCCCGAGTTCTATTAGCTGATATTTTAATAAACAATTGGTAGAGAATGCACAGTAAGCTGACTGGCCTGTAATTTTTCAGGGCCTTGGCATCTCCTTTCTCATTAATTAAGATGATGTTGGTGTTCTTTCAAGATTATGGTACCCTTTCCGCCAAGAGACACTTCTTATATAAGGTGGCCAGTTTTCTAACACAATTTCTCCGCCATCTTTCAGGAGGTCCACTGTTATCCTCATCAACGGTTTTGCCTCTTTGCAATCCTTCTAGGGCTTTTCCTTACTTCCCCTGGCGTTACTGGTAGAAAGTCGAATTCCTCTCGGCTAATATTCTTTCTAATGATAGTATCCTGGCTGTTTTGGCTTCAATACAGCTCTCTGTAGAACTCCTCTGCCACCTCAACTATCCTATCTATATTATGACATTGCCTCTTTTGTTCCTTAATGCATAAATTTTATTTTTACCTATGTACAAGTTTGCCTACGCAGCTTTCAACCTTCTGCCGCTATTTACAGAATGCTAATTACTGTCGATATTATACCTTCTGACGTCAGCTACCTTACGCCTATTGGTTAGCTTTGAAAGCTCCACTAGCTCAATTTTGTCGGTAACATTTGAGGCTTTCACGGTCTGTCATCTCTTGACAAGATCGTTCGTCTCCTGAGATAGTTTCCCTCTGTCCTATTCAGTCACTGTACCTTTGACTTCCACTGTACACTCTTGGTAGACGAAAAAGGTGCTTAACAGTGCAAACGACAAAAGGGGATAGAATTCCGTGCTTTGTTCTCGTCTCTTCTATGCTCTCCTGTCGTTTGCGTTGTTAAGCACCTTCTTCGTGTACCATGCAGCACCAACCGGCCCAATCAAGCACTTTGTCAATGTACAGTCTTTGATGATACTAGTTAGATTAACCTTTATTGCGTTACTGTTACGTCAGTTACCTCGTTTAGTGCCTCGAATATATTCTGAAGCGAAACTCCTAATTGCCGCACTTTCGCTCTCACTGCTAGTTCATTACTTGGATTCTTGCGTATCATGAAGTTCTTGTCTTTGCCTTTCTTTAAACCTAGGAGAATACGAGCTGTTACCATTTTCTGATCACTGCATCAGATCTTCCCAACTACTTCCACATCCTGCACAGCACCTGGGTGTGCACACAGAATGAAGTCTGTCTCATTTTTAGTTTCGCCATCGGGACTTCACCACACCCTTTTACGGTTAGCTCGTTTTCTGAAGAAGATGTTCAAGACCCTTAAGATATTACGTTCGGAGAACTCTACGCACAACTCCTCTGTGGCATTTCTACAGCTGATGCCATATTACCCCACTTCATTATCTCTGGCCTGTTTTGTTCCAACTTTAGCGTTAAAATCGCCTATCAGAACAGTATACTGTGACTTACTTTATTATTGGCTGTCTATATATATATATACGTCTCGTTAGAAGCGTTCAACCAAATTATCATCATGGCTCGATATAGGCGCGTAGGTCTGTACATTATGATCATCTTGGACATTTTCCGAAACTTAATTATGATACTTGCCACCCTCGCAAGGAATGCTATAGTATTCCTCTATGTTGCCAGCAATGATCTTGTGTATAAGGATCCCCACCATTAGTTATTTTCTGTCAAATATTTCACGGTAGCCTAGGACGTGTCCGTTTTTCAGCACTGTAAAAGCTTCACGTGTCATCTTAACTTCGCTGAGCCACATTATATCCCATTGAACAACCTCTGATTCCTCGAATAGGACAGCTGTACTATTTCACTATACAGCGTTCTAGCGTTGAAATTAGCCAAATTCTGATTGCAATGGCGGCCCCGCTGAGGTGGTCTAGTGGCTAAAGCACTCGGCTGCTGGCCCGCAGGGCGCGGGCTTGAATCCCGGCTGCGGCGGCTGCATTTCCGATGGAGGCGGAAATGTTGTAGGCCCGTGTGCTCAGATTTGGGTGCACGTTAAAAAACCCCAGGTGGTCTAAAGCTCCGGAGCCCTCCACTACGGCGTCTCTCATAATCATATAGTTGTTTTGGGACGTTAAACCCCACATATCAATCAATCAATCAGATTGCAATGGCGGCCTGTCTGGACCCAGAGATTCTTTAGTGCCAACCACTGGCACGCGTATGCTCGCGTCTACGCGTCAAAAGCGTCAAATGCGCCTCTCGGCGTCGGCGTCGGAGGGGCATACGCGAGGAGGCGCGAGGGATGAAGCCGGGCTTGATATTTTTGCCAACGCCTCCTCTCGGAAGATGCCTGCCACATGAGCAGAAAAACAGCTGCCACATCCCTTCCCTTTTTCAGTTTAAAATGTTCTCGGTCACTAGCGTTACCTGTGGTGGACGGTGCAACAACGCAACACTTTGCCTCCGAATCAGTGATGCACAGTTGCAGGTCTCGAACAACTCTCGACTGACGCGCCCTTATGGGCCGTAGATGAAAAACGCTTAACTGGTACCGCCCATCGCCGTGATGATATTGTCGGTCGCGAGCGCCACCGCGCGGAGCTTGTTTAAAACTGAAGGCATGCCAACTCTGCTGGGAGCGCGAGCCATTTCTCAGGCATCTATCTAAAGGAGGCGTTGTTTTTGCACGCGTACGCAACGTCAACACGCGTACAGCGGCGCCAACCAACCAGGAGCCGCGTGCCAACCAACCAGAAGCCGGGATGACTACGAATGCTGTGCCTAACGGCCGCCGCTTTGAAGGCACAGCCGAGTGCTGAAAGCAAGCATGGAAACTACTCCAAAGGTTCCTAATAGACCGCTTCGTAATCTAGAACGACAACTAAACGACGAGCGACTGCGACTGCTACGAGCGTGACGTGGTTTCGTGCCGAGTTCAAGCGACGCCGACAAATCCAGCGAATGCCGGCCGGCTATGCTAGCGCCGGTCCCGTGTGCGATCGTCGGCCGAGCGGAAGGAGCATGTCGGTGTTTTTGTGCTTTGATCTGTCACTTTCTGTGCTAAAAATGAGTGTAAACAGACTTCGGAGGTTCTAAGGTTTGAGCGTGAGCCCTCGCCTACCACGGCGGAGGCAATTCAGATCGGTGTCATCTGCATCCAGCGCAGGCCTCTACCATCTAGTTCGGATGAACCAGCACATGCGAGGAACATCGGCTGAAAAAACTCTACGGTCGTTTCCGTCGCAACATAGACACCATATTATCATCATCATCATCAGCCTGACTACGTCCACTGCAGGACAAAGGCCTCTCCCATGTTCCGCCAGTTAA